ATCAGATCCACCATACTTCAACCCTATTGCATCCATCAGATCCACCATACTTCAACCTTATTGCACACATTAGATCTACCATACTTCAACCCTATTGCACACATCAGATCCATCATACTTCAACTCTATTGCATCCATCAGATCTACCATACTTCAACCCTATTGCACACATTAGATCTACCATACTTCAACCCTATTGCACACATCAGATCCACCATACTTCAACCTTATTGCACACATTAGATCTACCATACTTCAACCCTATTGCACACATCAGATCCACCATACTTCAACCCTATTGCATCCATCAGATCCACCATACTTCAACCCTATTGCACACATCAGATCCACCATACTTTAACCCTATTGCACACATTAGATCCACCATACTTTAACATTATTGCATCCATCAGATCCACCATACTTCAACCCTATTGCACACATTAGATCCACCATACTTCAACCCTATTGCATCCATCAGATCCACCATACTTCAACCCTATTGCATCCATCAGATCCACCATACTTTAACCCTATTGCACACATCAGGTCCATCATACTTCAACTCTATTGCATCCATCAGATCTACCATACTTTAACATTATTGCATCCATCAGATCCACCATACTTTAACATTATTGCATCCATCAGATCCACCGTACTTCAACCCTATTGCATCCATCAGATCCACCATACTTTAACCCTATTGCACACATCAGGTCCATCATACTTCAACTCTATTGCATCCATCAGATCTACCATACTTTAACCCTATTGCATCCATCAGATCCACCATACTTTAACATTATTGCATCCATCAGATCCACCAAACTTCAACCCTATTGCATCCATCAGATCTACCATACTTTAACCCTATTGCATCCATCAGATCCATCATACTTCAACATTATTGCATCCATCAGATCTACCATACTTTAACATTATTGCATCCATCAGATCCACCATACTTTAACATTATTGCATCCATCAGATCCACCGTACTTCAACCCTATTGCATCCATCAGATCCACCATACTTTAACCCTATTGCACACATCAGGTCCATCATACTTCAACTCTATTGCATCCATCAGATCTACCATACTTTAACCCTATTGCATCCATCAGATCCACCATACTTTAACATTATTGCATCCATCAGATCCACCATACTTCAACCCTATTGCATCCATCAGATCTACCATACTTTAACATTATTGCATCCATCAGATCCACCATACTTCAACATTATTGCATCCATCAGATCTACCATACTTTAACATTATTGCATCCATCAGATCTACCATACTTTAACCCTATTGCACACATCAGGTCCATCATACTTCAACTCTATTGCATCCATCAGATCTACCATACTTCAACCTTATTGCATCCATCAGATCCACCATACTTCAACCCTATTGCATCCATCAGATCCACCATACTTTAACATGATTGCATCCATCAGATCCACCATACTTCAACCCTATTGCACACATCAGGTCCATCATACTTCAACCCTATTGCACACATCAGGTCCATCATACTTCAACTCTATTGCATCCATCAGATCTACCATACTTCAACCCTATTGCATCCATCAGATCCACCATACTTTAACATGATTGCATCCATCAGATCCACCATACTTCAACCCCTATTGCACACATCAGATCCACCATACTTCAACCCTATTGCACACATTAGATATACCATACTTCAACCCTATTGCAGCCATCAGATCTACCATACTTCAACCCTATTGCACACATCAGATCCACCATACTTCAACCTTATTGCATCCATCAGATCCACCATACTTCAACCCTATTGCATCCATCAGATCCACCATACTTTAACATTATTGCATCCATCAGATCCACCATACTTCAACCCTATTGCACACATTAGATCCACCATACTTCAACCCTATTGCACACATTAGATCCACCATACTTCAACCCTATTGCACACATTAGATCCACCATACTTCAACCCTATTGCACACATTAGATCTACCATACTTCAACCCTATTGCACACATCAGATCCACCATACTTCAACCCTATTGCACACATTAGATCCACCATTCTTCAACCCTATTGCACACATCAGATCCACCATACTTCAACCCTATTGCACACATTAGATCTACCATACTTCAACCCTATTGCACACATTAGATCTACCATACTTCAACCCTATTGCACACATTAGATCTACCATACTTCAACCCTATTGCACACATTAGATCTACCATACTTCAACCCTATTGCATCCATCAGATCCACCATACTTCAACCCTATTGCACACATTAGATCTACCATACTTCAACCCTATTGCACACATCAGATCCACCATACTTCAACCCTATTGCACACATTAGATCCACCATACTTCAACCCTATTGCACACATTAGATCCACCATACTTCAACCCTATTGCACACATTAGATCTACCATACTTCAACCCTATTGCACACATCAGATCCATCATACTTCAACTCTATTGCATCCATCAGATCTACCATACTTCAACCCTATTGCACACATTAGATCTACCATACTTCAACCCTATTGCACACATCAGATCCACCATACTTCAACCCCATTGCACACATTAGATCCACCATACTTCAACCCTATTGCACACATTAGATCTACCATACTTCAACCCTATTGCACACATCAGATCCACCATACTTCAACCCTATTGCACACATTAGATCCACCATACTTCAACCCTATTGCACACATTAGATCTACCATACTTCAACCCTATTGCACACATCAGATCCACCATACTTCAACCCTATTGCACACATTAGATCTACCATACTTCAACCCTATTGCATCCATCAGATCCATCATACTTCAACCCTCTTCAACCCTATTGCACACATTAGTAGGTTCACTAAACCGGTATGCTTTAACCCTATTGCAACAACCAGGCCCAGCAACCTTCAACCCTAATAGAAGAACAAGGCCAAGCATGCTTAAACTTCTACTGCTACAACCAGGCCCAACATGCTTTTACCCATGTGCTACAATCGGGCCCAACATGCTTCAACCCATGTGCTACAATCTGGCCCAACATGCTTCAACCCATGTGCTACAATCTGGCCCAACATGCTTCAACCCATGTGCTACAATCTGGCCCAATATGCTTCAACCCTACTGGAAGAACTAGTCCCAGTATGTACAAAACTTGAATTGTAATCAAATGTGCACTGCACTCAACATTCTCAAAAGCATTGTGAAGTACATACCAGTGAATTCATCTCACAATCATGAATGTGAAATATATTTTCAAGCCTAATAAGCTGTTTCCAAGGTGTTACAGGTTGCACTGTATTTTCAAGGAGAACATCTGACTTCACCTTTTCGAGTCGGTGCAAATAATATGTCCCATCCAGGATGTTTAAGATGGTGCATTTAAACTGAAGTAAACCACTTAAGGTTATTACTGACGCTTACTAAGGAACAGCTTTCTGTTGGACAACATTACGGACGTCAGAACAGGATAAAATAAGCGGATCAGGATCTTCCATATTTGCAAATTCATCATTTCGTAACTAACCATGCTAATGACCGTGTTCATTCTGAATAATTGTTGTTTCATATTAAGAGCTTGACAAATATAAATACATGAAATATTACAAGATAGTTTCATCACAAATGTTTCCATGTCCACTTATGATTTGTTCCTTTGTTCTTTTCTTTCGTCAAGAAAATATAGGAATTGAACATAAGCTTTTGCTATCAAATACAAACAACTGTTGCTATACTCATAAAACAGTGTGCCAAAAGCGTTTGACTCAACGAGCCAAAACTAGACTTGGGCTTCAGACAAGACTGAAAATATATTCATGATATTGTTTGTTCTTTTGTTCATTTGTTGTTTAACGCCGCACTCAAGTCAGCAAGCCTGACCATAAAGATGATATACATGATATTGATTACTGACAGGTCATGTTGATAACATAAGTTGCCAGGAACATATTATAACATGTCTTGCACTGTTGTCAATATTGCATTCAAACTGCATACATTAATAGGTTGGATAAATGGTGTGATAACCCTATTATCCAGTTATCTAACCAATTCCATGCGCTACAGATACCTTCTCAAATAACCACTATTCATTTTTTCCCCCTTTAAAATAGACTATGGTTGTAACCCTGTCAACTCTGATTCGGTCACCACATCAACAAACTACTCATATTCACCTTATACAAACATACTAAAGCCAATAAATGTTCTTATGTTGACAATGTAACCCTAATCACCATAATACCAAACTCGCTGACCCTAGAGCTTTTCTCTGATCAAATAACATGCATCAGGAGATTTTAACCACCTCTCCAAATTCATCCAGATAATACTGCCACAACGCAGGTCCAGACAACAAACACAGAATACATAAACTATAAGTGCACCCTACTAAGGTATCTTGCAATCACAATCAGTACGTCGCTGACATTCTGCATCGCTCGAACAATTACTAGGATCAAAAACATACAAGGTAGTGAGTGCCCAGCCTTATTGTTTAGCTTCTTTTGTTTGGCGACAATACAAAAAGAATGTAAGAGCATTAGTGTAAGCTGAAATATGTTGCAGCTGCATCTCAAATGAACTCATTGTAAAATTAATGTGCAGGCATAAAAAGTACTGTGAGAAATCTGAGTGCATTTACCTCTGGTCTATAGCGTTCAAAGGAGCATGGCTGTGTTTTGATAATGCACTTCCTTGGCTTCAAATTAGTGGGCTTAAATTATTGATTCTGATTGATTCATTTGCCTTGTTTACAATATGGAAGTTTCCAAGTCCATCATTACAAATTGTAATATTCTACTTGTTAGCATGTCACATCTAGGAATAGCTTACATGCAGACAACCCATGGAGAAGTACCATAGCTACAGAATTTGATAATAAACACTTAAAGTACAATTATACAAAAAAATGCATTGTTTAATGGATTGGTTTTGATTTGTCGTACCTGTGAATCAATGCCGACAAAGTCCTCTTGCCTCTGTCTGAGAGTTGCGACATCTTCTTCCTGCATGTCAGACTGTGTGTCAGACATGTCCAACCCTTGGGCAGACGTCTGGGCTGTTGTATGGCTGCTTGGTCCAACAGACGTCTGGCTGGATGGACAGAGAGGCAGGTGACCGGATGATGAGTGGGGTGGATGGAGAGACACACTGCTGGACCGACTTACTGAGGAGTAACTTGGAGGATGGAATGATGGGGTGCTGGATTCATCAGGTCGTGAATGAGTTGAGAAATAGCTAGCTCGTGATGCAGACACATGGGGTGTTGAGGAATGCCGAGCTGGATGGGTGGATGGAGAGATGGATGGACATGATGCCATTTCAGTGGCTGGGTGACTGACCTGATGGGCAGAACTGTGGACGTCACTTGATATTTGACTTCCAGACATTTTCACAGTGTCCTTTTACATTAAATCTGAAATATAATTTGGAACAGACCACATAAGCATGATAAGTTAACACACAGATGCCAGAAACTACCACATGTTCAACAGAATATAACAGTAAATAGTGGACCTGTGAAGGTTCTGGAGTAGAATAGGTCTTCAGCAACCCATACTTGCCGTAAAAGGCGACTATGCTTGTCGTAAAATGGCGACTAATGGGATGGGGTGGTCAGGCTCGCTGACTTGGTTGATGCATGTCATCGATTCCAATTGTGTGGATCGATGCTCATGATATCAATCACTGGATTGTCTGGTCCAGACTCTATTATTTACAGACCGCCGTCATATAGCTGGAATATTGCTGGGTGCGGCGTTAAACAACAAACCAACCAACCAACCAAGTAAATAGTGTTTGAATTCATGAGTTCTTGCTTCAATTTTATTCATTGTTTGTTTGTTTTTTAATGCCGCACTCAGCAACATTCCAACTATATGACGGCTGTAAATAATCGAGTCTGGACCAGACAATCCAGTGACTGACATCCAGGGTAGAATAGGTCTTCAGCAACCCATGCTTGCCATAAAAGGCAACAATGCTTGTCATAAGAAGTGACTAACGGGATTGGGTGGTCATGCCAGCTGACTTTGTTGATGCATATCATCGTATTTCATCATGTTCATCAACAAATCCCAAATCATCAAAAGGCACCAGTTCCCAACTATACTGATCTGAATAGAAAGTTTCATCAAGCAATATTTAACAGTTTTGGAGTTCTGCTCCGGAAATGGAAAACAGCTAGCTGGCAGCCCGGTCGGCCGGATGGACAGACAGACAGCCAGCCAGACAGACATGCTGATCGCTATACCCTCCCTTTTTCAAACCGGGGGAATAACAAACATGAGGCCACTGGTCCATATAATCTTGCTTACAAAGAGTGATTTTACAAAGAGTGATTCAAGAAGGCTTTAATGAATAAGTACAACCAGCAACTTCTTATCAAACCTATGGGTCGACTCCATTTGAGACATTATAAAATAAGATCAGAAAATTGACGATAACAGTATGAAAATAACTTATTTTTATACAGATTCATAACAAATTAGTGATGAAAGAACACATGCAATATATTTCGGTACATATCGCAATACATGAATCATTACTGCAATAAATTACAATACGAAAGTCAGGACAATACCCATCACTAGTAATTATGACATTTCATTATTTCAAAATAAAACATTCATTCTTGTGTGAAAGTCATTAACTGTAGACAGTCATTAACACATACATTAGGTACCGGTGGTTCAATCTGCTGAAAAATATTGTCACTCGCAACATAAAGTATAGGTAAAGTGGAGTGTTTCTGCAAGATTGAAAAAACAGAAATCAGTTAAGAAGCAAGCATTATTTTCTGAACCGAAAGGAAATCATTATTTAACAGGCAATGTCTGTAATGATTCTACACTTGATAAATTTATCTGCCAAGGGCTAAACTGCATCCTTCAATTTAAAGTCTGGGTCATGACCAGATAATACCAGCGCCCTGTTCCATAAAGCCTTCTTAGCACTAAGATGATCGTATCACCCATACTTTAACATAAGCTTACAACAGTCATAGCACTAAGATCACTTTGTGGAAATGGGCCCTGTACCAGAATGATGTCAACTGCTGTCAAGTTTGTCGCAAATTCTACATATAAATCTTGCAGTGATTTATCCGAAAGTCCCACAATGGTTTAACATCCATTTCATGTCATGATGTGAGAACTATTCGAATAGAATCACTGCAAAAAAAAGAAACATGATTAAGGAACCACATTCTCTCATTTTCTGCTTAGTTCTCATAGTTTAGAAATCAAACATTTTAAGTTTGTCACTACAACCATATCGAAAATAAATATCACTTTTTCTTAATTTGTCCAGCTTATAGCCATTTCAGACAGTTATATAAAACTTAAACTTATACATCTTTCCAAATATTTTGAAGTTTAATACACTATTGTCATTGCAAGACCCCATTACTAATACAGCTAAGTACTTGTTTTATGCCAATGCTGTTAGAACACAAATACTCAAGCTTTCATAACATGCATTAATGTTAAATTTATTGTTTAAACATATGTACCTAAACTTCGCTGGTATAAAAAGGCCCATGCCCTACAAGTACTGAACAAAGTTTGATTAATAAACATCAGGACAGAAAAAAAACCTGTCTTCAAGTGACAAGTAAATGAGCATGATCTGCTTTCACCATTTGACTGAGGAGCCATTCCAGTGTGGACGCACTCATATACTGACTCAATTAAAGTCTACATGAATAAATCAGCTATCAACTAGAATTGAATTAAAAGATGTATGTGCAATGTTATTTTTTAAATGCAAACAATCCTGTTTTTATGCCTATCTTACAATTGTACTGACATTTACAGTAATGACGACTACATCACTGCATGTAATAATACTAAGTTAATGACGACTACATCACTGCATGTAATAATACTAAGTTAATGACGACTACATCACTGCATGTAATAATACTAAGTTAATGACGACTACATCACTGCATGTAATAATACTAAGTTCAAGACCTCATTTATGACAACTGTCATTATAATCCATCTTCACAGATGCTTTGCTCTCATGATAGGTCTCAAAGATTTGCTTTGGATTTGCTGTATTTATTTGGTGAAAATGAGTGGTCGGGTAGCCTGGTGGTTAAAGCGCTCGCTCGTCACGCCAAAGACCCGGGTTCGATTCTCGACATGGGTACAATGTGTGAAACCCATTTCTGGTGTCCCCCGCCGTGATATTGCTGGAATATTGCTAAAAGCGGCGTAAAACCAATCTCCATCACTCACTATTTGGTGAAAATGAGTTTATCTTCTGAATTTAAGGGTCATAATTTGGTTTTTTTTCAAAAGCTAATAACTATTTATCTGGTTCTTTCAATGAAAGTATTAACAAGAGTTTGCCACTAACGTGGCTATATCCCCCGCCACGGTTGCAGAATTTATGACATAATTAAATCTAAACAAACCCTAACCTTTTTTAACCGAGGTGGAACTTGTCATGGAAATTGTAAAAAAAAGATGAGTTTGGAACCTAAGTCCATCTTGTTGCCATGGAAACGTAAAAATAAATATTTATAAAATTTCTATATAGCAAAAGGCACCAGTTCAGCATGTACCTGACAGACCTGCAAAGTTTGATGAAAAAATATTGAACGGTTTATGAGTTATGCTCCGGAAACGAACCCTACCCTCACAGAACCTAAGTCCATCTTGTTGCCATGGAAACGTAAAAAATAAAAATTTATAAAATTTCTCAATAGCAAAAAGCACCAGTTCAGCATGTACCTGACAGGCCTGCAAAGTTTGATGAAAAAATATTGAACGGTTTATGAGTTATGCTCCGGAAACGAAACGTGACGGACGTACGGAGCCCGTTTCTATATCCCCCGCCAACTTCGCTGGACAGGGGATAATAACCGAGTTATGGCCCTTGTAAACTGAAATCTGAACTTACCATTAGTTCAAAGACCATGGCCATTCATATTATATACATAATTCATGTTGCAAGAACATTACGTCACAAACACTTTGACATTTAAAATCATTACTCCTCCCAAGTCCACCTCACAACCCATCAACTGTCAAGCCCTGTTAAAAGTACTCCTCCCAAGTCCACCATACAACCCAACAACTGTCAAGACCTGTTAAAAGTACTCCTCCCAAGTCCGCCATACAACCCAACAACTGTCAAGCCCTGTTAAAAGTACTCCTCCCTAGTCCGCCATACAACCCAACAACTGTCAAGCCCTGTTAAAAGTACTCCTCCCAAGTCCGCCATACAACCCAACAACTGTCAAGCTCACGTAATTTGATGCACTTTGTGAAATAGACCCGTTTTATAACAAAAAAGATATTGTCTATCGATCAGATTGTCTTCACTGGGCGCTGCATTTTGTTTGAAGCAAATGCAAGTGATATGAGAGGTTGAACCTGATTGGTCAATAGGAGGGACATAGAGGTGACATAACTCGTAATAGCGCTACGATCGAGCCCAGAAAATCCTGGTTGGAAACTGGACTTTTACAGTCAGTTAATTCCCTTGCCTCATCAAGATTCCCCAGCATACAACCAAATAACTGTACTCCTCCCAAGTCCAGCACAACTGTCAAACCCTGTCAAGTCCACCATACAACCTATCAACTGTCAAGCCCTGTTGAGAGTAGTCCCCCCCCTCCCCAAGGCCAGCATAAAACCTAACAACTGTCAAGCCCCGTTGAGAGTACTCCTCCCAAGTCCAGCACAACTGTCAAACCCTGTCAAGTCTACCCATGCTTATAAAATTTCTATACAGCAAAAGGCACCAGTTCAGCATGTACCTGACAGACCTGCAAAGTTTCATGAAAAAATATTGAACAGTTTATGAGTTATGCTCCGGAAACGAACCCTACCCTCACAGAACCTAAGTCCATCTTGTTGCCATGGAAACGTAAAAAATAAAAATTTATAAAATTTCTAAATAGCAAAAGGCACCAGTTCAGCATGTACCTGACAGGCCTGCAAAGTTTGATGAAAAAATATTGAACGGTTTATGAGTTATGCTCCGGAAACGAAACGTGACGGACGTACGGAGCCCGTTTCTATATCCCCCGCCAACTTCGCTGGACGGGGGATAATAACCGAGTTATGGCCCTTGTAAACTGAAATCTGAACTTACCATTAGTTCAAAGACCATGGCCATTCATATTATATACATAATTCATGTTGCAAGAACATTACGTCACAAACACTTTGACATTTAAAATCATTACTCCTCCCAAGTCCACCTCACAACCCATCAACTGTCAAGCCCTGTTAAAAGTACTCCTCCCAAGTCCACCATACAACCCAACAACTGTCAAGACCTGTTAAAAGTACTCCTCCCAAGTCCGCCATACAACCCAACAACTGTCAAGCCCTGTTAAAAGTACTCCTCCCTAGTCCGCCATACAACCCAACAACTGTCAAGCCCTGTTAAAAG